GGTTTGTTTACTTTGATGACGTCACTGATCAAAAGTACTGATAATTTTCATTAAAAAAAGGTATGAACTATATCTACTGTCAATGCATGTAAAATCAGATATACATTCCCCTTACTGTACTTATCCAGTAAAATGCCCAACAAAAATATTTCTGGTTTCAGATCAATATGTTGCTTTACAATTTTTTCAAACCATGTATGTATTTTTGTCCAGTATTTCTTTGCTTTTGGGCATGTCCACCACATATGATATGTGATACTAGGTATCTGATAGCATTTCCAACATTTTGCGGCCATATCCTTAAAAATCTTTGCTAACCTAAATATTTCCTTTATATGCAGTTGACATCCTTAATTTATAATCTCTATCCCATACTATCATTGTCTCCTTTACTTGCTCAGCTTCCATCTTGATACTTAACAAATTGCTATATTTTTAATTAGTTTTTCATCTATCCCTGTTAATATCTGATCTAATTCTGTTAGTTCTTTATAGAAACCATACTTTTAGCATCCTTCTCATATCGGGATTGTATCTGCACTTGTGGCCACGTTATATCAATCCCTTGACCACTTAGTTCCTGTTTAGTTTTAAGTTCCCCCTTTTCATTCAGAATGTCTTTATATCTATTAATATTTTCCATATCAATAACATTTGGATGAATCAATGCCTCCATTGTGGAGAGCCAGACTGGTATTTTCAAATAGTGATGTTCTTTCATTTTCTCCCATAATAATAATGTGTTTCTAATGTAATGTCTTTGGAAATACTTATGTATTTTGTTTTTTTTCCATACCATAAAAAGCATGCCAGCCCAATTGGAGATCATGTCCCTCTGAAGTCAACAATCCTTTGTGCCTCAAACCAATCCATTCTTTTATCCAAGGTAAGCACCAAAGCCTGATAGTACAGTTCCCAACCTGGCAGCCCAACCCCCCCTCTGTTTTTAGAATCTTGCAATATTTTCAAACTTATCCTTGCTTTTTCCCCTCACCAAATATATCTTAATATTGTTTTATTTAATTCTTCAAAGTATTTTTCCCAGTTTTATTGGTATTGTTTGAAAAAAATATAATAATCTCGGCAAGATATTCAATTTTATAGTAGCTATTCTTCCCAACGACAGTTCCAGATTTTTCCAGTTCTCCAAATCTGTTTTGATTTGTTGCACCAGTTTATAGTAGTTATCTTCTTTAATAGTTACACACCTTGCCATTAGTTGAATTCCTAAATATTTAACTTTCTTGACTATCTGAATGCCTATCCTCTCCATTAGCTCTTTTTTCTGTGTATCTGTATATTTAAGTTTTCATTATTTATTTTCAGTCCTGCAACTTCACCATATTATCTATTTTTAAAATTATTTTGGGTCCAGTTTCTTGTGGATCTTACAGGATAAAAAACAAATCATCTGTAAATGCCTGTAACATATTTTTCTTTTTTTATTTCCATACTTTTAATTTCTATGTCTTGTCTAATATTTATGTTTAACACTTCCAATGTCAATATAAATAGTAAAGGGGATAGTGGACATCCTTGTCTTGTGCCTTTTTTAATATATTAAAGTTCTCTGTCGTATCTCCATTTACCATCACCTTTGTTATTTGCTTGTGATATATTGCCTTGATCATTCTTTATTTTTTCATTAAGATTAAAGATTGTTTTGTTAACTGTGAAAGCATAAAATAAATTAAATTTATTTAAAAAATAACCAAAGCTACTGGATTCTGAATCCAATTTTCCTTCATTCCTCAGTTCAGCTTAACTGATGACAACTGATCACTTTAATTCTTTGGGAAAAAACATGAAGGCCCTCCACTCATGCTACATGTGTTCTCACAGACTGGGATGGATGTTTGGATGGGACCATGAGGAGACAGGTATTCTGTGCCAGATACAAGCGTGTTTTCATCTGCTGAGGGCTGCACTTCTCTGGATGTATTTTGGGGCTGCTGAGAGATATGCTCAGCTGGTCAAAGGGATCACCTCATGGGGTGGCAAGGGATAAGGGTGGTAGTTGATAGCAAAATAGGGAATAATTTTTCCTAATCTTTCTCAGACACGTTAAGTTTACCTGTTGGCTTATAGATATACAAATTCTAAGCATGATAGTAAATTAGATATTTTTACAGTGTGCAATTTAAAACAAACGTTAGGGGTTTTTTTTAATCAAAGAGGTAAACCCACTCGTGGCCTTTCATTTGCTGAAATTCTTTCTTTTCCTTTCTTTTCTCATTTTGAAAAATCTTGCTGCGTTCACAATTATACATCTCATGTTGTAAGACAAAAGAAAGTATTCTATTAAAATTTTGTCAGATACTTAATTACAAACTCTTCCCAGAATATGTGGTAGATACAGAAAGTAGAATCCTCAATCTGGCAAGATTTTATCTATAGTCACAAAATAATAAAGAATTCAGCTTGGAAGAATCATCACTGAATCATCATCATTCTTGGCTTTAGGCCTAACAGAAGATCACTTGGAAACTGCAGCTGGCTGCGCATTCGTCCATGAAACACAACTGCTTGAGACTTGCAAGGCTTACCTGTTCACCTCTGGGGAAAAATTCAAGGTGTTGGTTGTCATCTTTGACTTGTGCTATTAGATTGCAGAAGGGACTTCATCCCTCTTCTAAAGAATGTTAGCTACAATGTGTTGGCAGTCTTTTTTTTTAAATCACTGCCTCCATTCTCTGAAATAGTCTCAAGATTTGACTTGCCCCAACCTTATTGGGATTTAGGAAGGCAAACAAAACCTGGCTAGGACTTGGAAGGAATTGATTTAGAACATGGAAGATAGAATAACATAGTTGGAAGGGATTTTTGAGGTCTTCTAGTCCAGCCCCCTGCTCAAGCAGGAGACCCTAGATCAGTGGTCCCCAACCTTTTTATCGCCGCGGACCAGTCAGCCTTTGATAATTTTACCGTGGCCCACTGAGCGCGTCGATGACCAGCG